GACGCCTGTAGTTGTTGATCCATCTACCATAAAATTTCCTGCCTCAGGCCAGAAAGGCAGATGAGCAGCTAAAGTGTGTGCCTTGTCTGCTTGACAACATGAATTCATTTGGAAGATGATAGGCAACTCCACAAAGTTATCTTCTGACATTTGTGCATGTACTATAGCATGCAGATGCCTGAATTCACATGTCATACAAACATACAATAATAATATGTAAAAAGTTTTTTTCTGTCCCACCAGCCAGTTCCCAAATAACAACTGAGACTCTGTATTAATTAGGAAAGCTTTGCCTTTAGCTTAGGCTTATCTCAACCAGCTCTTGTAACTTAAATTAACCCATTTTTATTGATCTATGTGCTGTCACATACCAACCATCCTGCTTCCTCTGTGTCTTCTTATGTCTCTTGCCCCTCGATTCCTCCCCCTCTTCCTTCCTTCCCTGGAAATCCCATCTATACCTCCTGCCTAGCTATTGGACATCGAGCTCTTTATTAAACCAATCGCAGAAATATATCTTTACACAGTGTACAAATATTCCACAATAATAATAAACAAAAATTGTTTAAAATCCTTTGCCCCCTCACTGTTCACATTCAGTTGTTATTATTCCTCAGGGGAACCTTGGTTAAATCAAAGCAAGAAGTAGCGACTCACACCCTGCCCATTACTCTCAACATATTATCCTATCCTACTTCCTTTACACCACCAATCCATAACTCTTAGTTAGCTTATTGTTTTCTTCATCTAGTAGACTGAGGGGCCACTGGTAGTGACACTGGGATGTGTCTCTACTTGCATATACCGGCTTCATGGGATCCTATTCTCTTTGGATGTAAACCTTGCTCAACCTAGATGTAGTAGGGAGGGACTTGGACTTTCCGCAGGGCGAGGTGCATGGCACTCCCTTAGGGTTGGAGGGGTGGGGGAAGTGTCTGTGGAGGGAGAGGGAGGGAATGAGGAAGAGGGGAGGGAGTGGGAACTGGGATTGGTATTTTTTTTTAAGTAATTGAAAAAAAAAAAAAGAAAGTAAGAAAGAGCTGGGCGGTGGTGGTGCACGCCTTTAATCACAGCACCCAGGAGGCAGAGGCAGCCAGATCTCTGTGAGTTCAAGGCTAGTCTGGTCTACAGAGTGAGTTCCAGGACAGGCTCCAAAGCTATAGAAAAGCCACATCTCGAAAACAACAACAACAACAAAAGAAAGTAAGAACCTTGTCTGTCTTCTTCATCACCATCTTCCTCTTAAGACAGTGTATGTCACAAAGTAGAAGCTCAATAAACATTTAGGAAATGAGGGGCACATTTATAAGAAAAGGGAATAGATGTTCTGTTGGCTATGATCAAATTATCAATATTAACAGAGTGTAAACATTTAACATTTTCCTTTTTTTTTTTTTGGGTTTTTCGAGACAAGGTTTCTCTGTAGCTTTTGAGCCTGTCCTGGAACTAGCTCTTGTAGTAGTCCAGGCTGGCCTCTAACTTCACAGAGATCCTCCTGCCTCTGCCTCTTGAGTTCTGGGATTAAAGGCATGTCCCACAACCACCCGGCTACTTCTTTTCTTTCTTAAACTAATGTAATAAATCATTATATTTTGTTACTAGTTTTAGAATGTTTCCTTGGATCTATTTTCACCCTTAAACTAGAAATATATTACTACCACCACTTCTTTTCTCCTTCTGTCCCACCTTACTAAGATAAAATCAAGGTCAGTAAATTCAAAACCTTTACATTTTTAATTCTGATAGATTTTGACTTTTAAATTTATTAATCTATCTCTCTATCATCTATTTATTTACTATCTATCATCTATCATCTAGCTCCTATCTATCTACCATATATCTATATACCTATCATCTATCTATCTATCTATCTATCATCTATCTACCTATCATTTATCTATCTATATCTATCTATCTATCATCTACCTATCTATCTATCTATCATATATCTAGCTATCTAACTTTCATTATCTGTCTGTTATCACCATGTGTGTCATGGATAATATGTGTATTTGAGGGTTGATGCTAACTAACATCAGGCAATGTCAGAATTAAATTGAGCTATTTAGATTTAGTTGGTATTTGGAGAACTAGAAAATTGACTGCTAGAAAGTAATCCAGGCAGTATAAGAATTCCAACATTGTTCTTCAAAGTTACTTTGGCCATTTGTAGGTTCTTTGTCTCTCTATCCAGTCTTAGAATCAGCTGGTCAAAACACAAAACTGAGGTAGGATTTTTGCTTGAGATGGCTTTTATTCTATGTATAGAATTGGAAGTGCTAAAATTTTACTATTTTACCATTGAGAGAACTACCATTCATGAAAATGGTGTAGCTTTCCATTTTTTAGGTCTTTAATTTCTCTCGTTCATATTTGGCTTATTTAACCATTTGCCAAATGGTTCATCTCTACTTAACTGCACAGTTTTGGTACCATCATAAATGATGCTGCTTTAAATTTTTCTGATCATCTCTTGCCCATAAGTAGATATACAATAGTTTTAAAAATATTAATATTTATATTCTATTACTTTTAAAAACTCTTATTAATATTAATAGCCTTTTCAGGATTCTTTGGGATTTTTCTAAAGGTAGCCATGCCATGAGTAACTTCTTAAGAGGTTTCCTTCCTCCTGTCTGGATGCATTGCTGTTCTTCTTCTTACATGATGCATTGCTTTGAATTACAAGTACCATTTTTAATAAAAAATAAAAGGAGACACCTTGTTTTGTTACTGATCACTTGAGAAAACATTTCAGTCTCAGGCATATGGCTGTTCTTACACAGATGCTCTTTTCTTTTAGACTGAGGGAATTCTTGTCTATTCCTAATTTACTGAGAGGTTTTGTCCTAAGTAAATATTGTAACATGTACTTTTTATATACCTAGAATTCTCTTTCTATAACAAACATTTTTATTAAATCTTTGATTTTAAATCCATTTAAATTTTATTAATTTCAGAATAAAATACAAATATCTCATCACCAGATATAGCTTCCACCATTTCTCCAAACCTTATCTACACTATGCCATTGCCAAAGTATTTCCAGTGCCGTGAACGTGCCAATGCTATGGCAAGCCTCTGAGAACTCTCTGGAACATTAGTCTCCAAACCTCTCACTCTGAAACCTGTCCCAGGCATTCAGCACTCCAGCTTCTTTTAAATCTTGACGTTCAAAGATCACTTCTTTAGTGAAAAGTCTTTCCCGTGTTAAATCTCTGTGGGGTTCATGCTTCTAACACTGAAGATTGGTGTGGGAATCCTTTTGTATATGTGTTGCTTTTATTGGTTAATGAATAAAGCTGATTTTGGCCATGGCTTAACAGAGTAAAGCCAGGCAGGAAATCTGAACAGAGATGCAGAGAGAGAGTAGGCAGAGCAGGGGAGAAGACATGTAGCTACCACAGGAGACAGATGCCCCCACCAGAGTCCACCAGAACTCTACCAGTAGGACACGACCTTGTGGTGATGCACAGATTAATGGAGATGGGTTAGTTTAGAATATAAGAGCTAGCTAGCAATACACTTAAGCTATTGGCCAAGCAGTATTTGCAAATAATATAGTTTCTGTGTGGTTATTATGGGCCTGGGAAGCTGGGAATAAATGAGCAGCCTCTGTCAACAGATAATGCCATGAGGCATGAAATTACTTGTTTGATTTTTTTGTCTCCCTCAACCAAAAGTGATGAATAGTACAAGAGTAAAATTTTTACTCAAAAATAGAGTCTCATGTTAAATAAAATTATCTCTGAAGTTTTATTAAAAATAAGACACAAAAATTCTTCATAGAAATCAAAGACATTGCTTTGTATTATATTCTATTTTGAAAATATATTTTAGGAGTGACTAATATAATGGAAATATATATAGACCATCTATATTACTTTAACATAATTATTATCATTATATATCTGTGAATACATTAATACATAAGTAAATGCCAAAATCAAGTCCTACTGTCCACTGTGGCCCCCACAATGATACTTCTATATAATTACAAGTTTATTCTAATAGTCAGAAAACCTTTACAGTCATACCCCATTAGTCTCTCCATTTTACAAAAGAGGCAGAAGAGACACTGGCAAGTTCGATTGCAGAGCTAAATATGCAAAGCTAGCCATGAAAGCAGGACAGTTCAGCTCTGGAGTCTATTCTTTTCATTTCTATGGTCTATGCAATAACACCTTTACAAACATAGTTTTCTTTCTCTAGTCATATTCATAGAGTGTAATTATGTTCAATTATATTTCACACAAGACCAAGATGGCCCCATGTTCCTTGCAGAATAACGAGAGAACACTATGAAGAGGAAAGAACTTAAAGGAAGGCTACTTGAGGCATTCACTGAACACTAATCACTCAGACACCATAGCTTTACCGCTTTACATGGTTTACTAATTTACTTCTATTTATGGTTTTATATGTCCCATAGGAAGAATTTTAAATAATTCTATGTGATAAATTGGGTTTTATGTACTTATACTATAGCTATAGTGGCATTGTAGCTAAGATGACACTTCATGGAAGTGCAAGATATTCTATAAATCCCAAACATTTATGCAGACCACTTTGGGAGAACAAACCACTTGAGGGGATAACTATAATTTAAAATGAACCTCCCAATACTGCTCCTTTTTTGTGGTAGTGACAGTAGCGTTACTGTTTGTGTACGTGTGTATGTACATGAATTTGAAAACTAGAGGAAACCTCTGCTGTTGCTCCTCAAGCACCATCTACTTTGTTTTATAACAAAGGTCTCCCACTGGCTTAGAGTCTGCCAAGTAGACTAGGCTGGCTAGCCAGTGAGCCACAGGGATCAGCCTTTCTCCACATGCCACCGTGCAAGCATGGACCATCAAACTCAGATCCTCTTGCCTGTGTGGCAAGCGCTTTACCAACTAAAGTGCTCTCCCAGTCCCTGGCTATTCTTTACCAGCTACATGTCACTAAAAATTCAGAGGAAGCTAGAGACATTTCAAAGATTATATGAAATTGGTTACCTGCAAATGGAGTAGAACTTTCCTATGTTTTTCTATTTCTGATGTCTGTGATTGCTGTTGTTTTGCAACTTGCTCTACAACATCAGTTAATGAAGATGTGTCTTCTTTGCTCAGAGCTAGACAAAGGAATAAGGGAGTTAATAAAAATTAAATGCAGCCATTTTAAGAAAGCCATATTTCTTTCTAGAAATTCATTAAAACTTGTGTTTTATTCTTGTGAATAACTAAATTTAGGATTGATAGCATCCATTTCTGTTCCTAAGCAAAATCAAGAACAAGGCAATATTAATGTCACTTCAAGGTTGCTTACCTCAGTGTTGTACCAGTTCCTTATAGAGCAGAGAAAATAAGATTGTTTTAATTTCTTAATACAGAACCGCTGCACATGTTGCAATTACTGCGCTGCCACAGCAAGTGAAAACACAGGCGATTGTTTTTCATTGTCGTCCTGAGTTTTTGTCTATTTAACTCATAAACTCCTCCAAGCTCCCCATGTGTCCCCTTCATTCTTTTTTCAAATTCATGACCTTTTTAAAAATTGTTATTACATGCATATATGTATGTGTATACATATAGACAAACATACACACACATGTATATACATATAAACTATATGCGTAAGTACAACCTGCTTGGTTTGTATAACTTAATTTGCATATATGTTTTCAGGGTTGACCACTTGGTATCTGATAACGAATTGGTGTTCTACTCTGGGGAAGACCCCTCTCACACACACTCTCAGCATTTCTTAGTTATGTAGTCCTGTTTTTTAAGTGTTACATAAAGCATATAAACCTTGTGTATGTCTATCCCTGATGAAATATGACTGCTTCCTCCTCCCGTAACTTGCTCCCAGTTTTAACACCATGATCCTCTCCTTCATTTTCCTCACCACGGCTAATCTCCCAGCTGTTAAGAGTGCTTCCTTACCGTCTTGAGGAATGCCGTCATTCTTCCCTTCTTTGTTGTCTGACATTCTTAGTCTATGAGCTCCTTTCCCTGGGTTAGTTCTCCTTCTTTACTCCTACGAAACAATACGTTTCACTTTTCCCTCTTTTCCTGTCACATATTCATGATCCTAACAGTTGTTCACACACTATAAGGATAATTAAAGACTGCTCACTATTAGTATCAATAATTAAACACAATAATTAAATTAGATATAGGAAGAAAAATATTTAAATCTTGGTTCGTTTGCTTTTTAGCGGTTAGGAGCTTAAGGAAGATCTTTTTCTTTTATCTTCTGTGATATCTTCTTTTATCTTCTGTGAAGCGTCACAGGGCCAAGGTAATAATTAAAGATATTATAACATAATCCTATATGTATACACATACACACATGCGCAATACGTGACCTATGCTGAGTAATTATTATGGATTAGAAGCAGGAACTTTCAGTAATTACTGTGTTGAAATAGATTTTAATCAGCATATGTAAGAAATTATTCTAAGAACATTTAAAAATTTCTGTTTAATGTTATTTTGATCAGGGTAGGTCCTAAGCAGGTTTGAAAACATATTTACCTTTTATTTAGGGGCAACTTATATGATAAAGGCATAGAGACTTTTCCATCAAAAAAGGAAGAGAAAGAATTGCACTAGCACTAGAGTGGTGAGGTGACAGACCCGAGGGCATTGCAGACTCCAGGAACAATAGCATCAGAATGTGCCTGCCCAGAGGAACTGATACAAGTTCTTAGTATGAAAAAGTGGGCTCAATGTCAACAAATGCTGTTGAGACTGGAAGCTACCACCTCCTATTTAAAATTTTGCATACGGAAATTTCCAGTGAGCTGGCTAATTGTGAGCAAAACCCCAAGATTTTTATAGATGCTGTAAATCTAACCTGTAAATCTAAGTGATTCCAAACTTTCTAAGACAAACAAACAAACAAACAAAAATTAAAACATCCTAAATGACAAGCACATGTAAAGATATCGCCACAGAGAATTTTCATCAATCACTGGGCATTTTTCCTAAGGATTAAACACAACAAAACACAACATCACACACACACACACACACACACACACACACACACAGACATGCACATACACGCACACAAGTTATACACGCCTTCTAAACTAAAACTTAAATGACCGAGATGTATTACATAAAATAAGAAAGAAAATCAAAACTGGATTGCTCCCGAGGTGAGGAGATTGAAACCTATGCAAAAATATCTCACAACAAGCGGAAGAAACCCTGAAAGTTTAGCTAGCAGATTGTCAGTCAAGTGAGAAGTTAGGATTCTTTCTCATGTCTTCATGTCACTTCCTTAAATTTCACTTGGAACTTCCTTCATTCCTGACGTCTTCCTGGTTCTAAATTCATCCCCTGCTCACGCCTCTGCTCTATGTCCTTCCGTCATCACACACAGAACTGTTCACAGTAGTATTGGTGGATCCAAATTTTTACATTCTCTAGCTTGTTTGTTTCATTTTTTGGTCAAAAGGCTTCATCCTTCATTTTACCTACCTGTCTTGAAAACGTATACTTCATACTTTGCTCAATGCTTTCAATTGACTACAGTGCTCAGTGCTTATTTCATGCCTACTTGTGCTGGAAGCTAAGTACTTCAGATGTCCTTAAGCATTATGTGTTACGTTTATTCTGCTCTTGGTAGTGTTCTAAGTATTTTACATAAAACTTATTTGACTCTATGAGGTAGATAATTATGAAAAGCTCACTGAGGCACAAACAGATTGAGGGATTTATACAGTCAGCTATTGTGATGTGAATTGAATTCATGTATTTTGGTACCAAAGTTCATATTCCTAATGCTAAACTATGCTAGAGTACTACTTTTTAAGAGGAAGAATTGTGTCTTTACGTCACCTGGGGATTGACCCGGGACTCTGCATGCTCAGCACACATCTCACCATGGAACTTCTTCTTTTCTACTCACACTGTTATTGCCCACTTTTCTTGTTTGAGGAACTATTTGGGGACAGTAGCTTCAGTGCCCCAATTTGCATGATTCAATAGGGAACAAACTCCATGCTCTGAGTTCCCTATAAGATATGGTGAACTTATCTTCCTAGCAAGTCTAACCTCTCCCTGGCCGCTCACTCTTACCCCAGTCACCCCCTGCTTTTCATCATGTCCCAGCCCCCCACAACTTAGACAGAGACCCCCTGATCGACAAGAGGCCACACCAGATGCCAGAAGTCCAAGTAGTCTCCCCGACCTGTGGACTCCCTAACTCTTGAAGTGCTCCCCCGTATGCCTTCCCCCGTCAGAACCAGTGCCACTTGTACTACCTGCCTAAAGCTGGACACTGGTTCCATTACACAGCATAATTCTTCTGAAGGCTTTAGGAGAAGCCTTCAGACTTTCAAATCATTCTCTTCTATGAAACTCTTGGTCTCTTTGTACCCTCAAGCATCATTACTAAACCTGTTCTTTCATAATTTTCTAAATCTCCATAAACTATAAGATCAATGTTGTTCAGAACCCAAAACACAGATTATTATTACAGAAGTCTCCAGAAAGATGTAGAGCTCAGGACAATTTAACTAGACTTGCCAAAGATAAAGAGAGTTCATTGTTGGTGTTTATTGCTCCTTTGGGAAATCCTTAGAGATATCCCACAAGTAGGGTGTTCAAGGCCAGTGCTTTATTTGTCCCACACAAGGGACAAGGTTGAATCTTGATTCCTTATTCCTTTAGATGCTGCAACACGTTCTGTAAAACTTACCGGTCACCTTTAAGCAGTACCGGAATCCAATCTTCCTTTACCACTTCCAAACACTATGCTAGCAGGGAATCCTCCTAAAACACGACCCTATTCTTTCACCCTGTTTCCTTGGTTTGCTTCCTCCTTCCCTCTTTCTCTTTCCATGTGTTCACACACAGGTAGAGGCAGTGGTAGGTAGATGTTGCGTGAGTATCTTTCCCAATAACTTTCCACATCTTTTTAGTTTTGAAATAGACTTTCTTGCTGAACCTGAAACTCGTTGGTTTGGCTAGACTGACTGGTTAGCACGCCCCACGGACCTTCCTGTCTCTGCCTCCCTAGTGTGATATTACAGGCAAGCGCTACTTTGCCTGACTTTTTTGTGTGGGCTTTGTGGGAACTGACTTATTAGGTATTTATGTATGCAAACACTTCGTTGACACATGTTTCCAGTCCTATTTTGCTTAATAGCAGTTATTACCACTAGTTTCTCTTACATTTGTTTCTGTTCTATATCCTTCAGCCAATAGGAGTTTCTAAAGGGCAGAGACCTCGAAATGCCTGGCACATACATAGCATGCTCAGACCCCTAATCTATCTATCTCGACTCCACTTCACCACGTTTTGACAGGGTAATGCTCCTTGTGACAGTTCTCATCACACCCATATTATGGTTAATCTTTTAAGTCAATTCTAATTCAGATGCCATCTTCTTTAAAATAGCTTGTGTGATCTGTCTAGACATACATGATTCTCTCTTTTTAGTATACTATGCTAGACAACATTTTAGGTTCTACAGTGAGATGGAGCTCATTTTGAACATAGGTAGTATGATTTACTTCCTTGCTAGGCAAAACATTCACCAAGTTTCTGACTATTCAAAAAATTTATTCTTATAATTTTCAACATTTTATTCTATTTTCCCCTTAGGCTATACTCCATAAAGGCAAATAATATTCTACTCTTTTTTCACTCCCTCAAATATTTGATGACATAACATCAATAATGAAGAACATTGGATTCATATGATAAGAAAATAACTGATATTTCTTAGTCTTTATTTCTGAATCATGAATCAACATCAGTTGAAGAACTTATATAACATTTAATTACATCAACTATTCCTGAAAAAAAAATCGGAGAAAATTATGTTGTGTTTTGTTTTGCATGTATGTATGTATGCATGTGTATGTTTGGTTAAGTTTTGTTTTGTTTTCTTGATCTCTATGATAGAACCTAAAAAAAGGGAGGGGGAAAAAAAGAAGAATCTACTGCCATCTACTGATAATTAATTAGAATTACATAAATTGATACTCATCCACTTTTTAAAAAAAATTACTAGACTCCATCTAAAAGAAGTCCATAAATAAAATCATTGAAAGATTTACTATAGTGGAGGCTAGGAAGATGGCTAAACACTGGGCCTAGATTGATCGTGAGATGGAGGGACAGATTTCCACTATCCTTCCTGTCCTCCATTATGACCTCTCCAATCTCACCCTTAGCCTTGCAGCAGACTGCTTACAGCTATCCCTCCTCCCACACTGCCTTCACTCCCTGGGGACTCCACCTCTTGATGGGACCCAGCTCTACTCTCCCCTGCCCCCAGCCTTCCCTTCTAACTCATCTACATCCCTTTGTGTTAGCAGCAAATACCCAGGAACAGTTTCTGCCTTGGACCCCCAGTGGCCACATCAGGTTCTGACTCAGGTTAAGTATTTTTCACCATCCCTCTGGTCCTTCATTATCCGCTGTCCAAACTCATTCCTAGTCCTGTAGCAGCCTCCTCCCATGTCAACATCATTCACTGGAGATCCCACCTCATGACACACACCTTGGATCCCCCTAGACCTTTTATCCCTATCTCTCCAGACTTACTCTTTTCCCTAGGATAGCCTACTTGCAGGAGCCTCTCCTCCCACCACACCTCTACTCCCTGGAAGCTCCAGCTCTTAATGTGGGCCAAATTCCCCTAACTCTTTGTCACAGCTACTCTCAGTCTTTCCTCCTAGCCCATCTTCAGGGCCAGAGATTCCACATCTACCACTTACCTAGGATCCAGAAAGGGCAACAAAACCAAAGAACAGAACACACACCCAACAAAGACAAGAACAAATGTCAAAACCTAGAAACACCTTAGTCATCATAACTCCTGATGCCTAGACTCCAGTACAAAAACACATCAACAGCCAAGATTATATGCCTCTACTAGAAACCAGTAACCCTATTACAATAGGCCCTAAGAAATGTTAGAAAGCTAAAGCACAAGACAAGGACTTCAAAATAGCAATTGTGAACATATTCAAGGACCTTAAAGAGGATATGAATAAATTCCTTAATGAAGA